AAACCAATTAGAACAAAATACAGAAATAGACCCAAATATGTGCAGAAATAAGATTTAAGTGGCATCTGGCAACTGCAGTAATACTCAGAGGGAGCTGGATGGACAAGCTCACTACTTTCCCCCCTCTTTTAATCTTGTGAGTCTTCTGCATTGAGTTTGAATCTTGTCCAGACACAGAAAGCCATGGTCTGAGGCTCCTCCCCAGCTCTGGGTAAACCAGGAGAACTGTGTCCATAGGGCTTGGACCCCCCAGTGTGTGTACCCTGGAGGCATGGGGCTGCCCTAGCACAAGCTGTTGCATTGGATTACTGGCCCTGATAGAAGGCTGGCTGCAACAGGTCGGGGTGGGGTGTCCCAAACCACAAGGATGGCTTGGGGGGCTCAGGAGGAAGGACGGAGCACATAGGAAAATTATCAGGAGAGCTGCAAACTCTCCTTACCAAGTGGGCAGCCTTGAGCAAGTTGACAGATGCACCAGGCCACAGGGTACCCAACTCTAAAATGAGTGAAAGAAGGATGTTGTACATGTAAGCAATTTTTCCAGAGTATGTTTTCAATAAATGTTTCAATTATATGTTTAAAAATAAATACTAAAAGGGTTGGGACAATAGGTAGTCAAAAACAAAACAAAACGAAAACCTAGGGGCGCCTGGGTGGCTCAGTCAGTTAAGCATCCAACTCTTGATCTCAGCTCAGGTCTTAATCTCAGGGTCATGAGTTCAAGCTCACGTTGGGCTCCATGCTGGGCATGGAGCCTACTTAAAAACAAACAAAAATACTGCCTAAACACTTAAGCAAAACATTTAGTTGTATTTGACCGGAAGGCTGTTTGAGCCCAGCCTTGCTTTCAAACGTAACCACGTGTTTTCTTTTCGGGGTTTTCTATATTGATGTGTCTGGTTGTTTTGGTTTTTTTGTTTGTTTGTTTTTTGTCTGTTATGTCTTCATCAAAATAAGAAAGTAAACCTGTAATTCCTAACTGAAAAAAGAAAAGATTGACACATTCAACTACAGAAAAATAGGAAAGTTTTATATGACATATAGTGCTGACATAACAGTGATGACACCATAAACCCAAAAGACAGCAAGTTGGGAAAAAATATGCATAATCACATCACAAGTGAAAGGTTAGTATGAAAAATACTAACTTGTTAGAAAGATAGGCAAGGAGGGGCACCTTGGCGGCTCTGTCGGTTGAGCGTTTGACTCTTGGTTTGGGCTCAGGTCATAATCTGGGGTCGCGGGATCAAGCCCTGCATCGGGCTCTGTACTTGGTTCGAGTCTGCTTGCAATTCTCCCTCTCTCCCTCTCCATCTGCCCCTCCCCCTGCTGACACACACACTCTCTCTCCAAAATAAATAAATCTCAAAAAAATTTTTAGAAATATAGGCAAAGAATAGGACCAGACAATTCACAGGAAAGAAATATAAATGGGTCTTTTAGGATAATAAACCAAAAATAGAAACAGGAATTTTATGTGATTCTCCCCACTCTGTTCTTACTCCCCTACACATGCTCAATACTATTAGGTAGACAGGACTCAGAAGCTAAAGTAGAGATTGAAAGACATGTGTCAGTCATGGCTCTCCAGAGAAACAGAACCAGTAGTATATATATATATACACACATACATATACATATATATATGGATATGTGTGTGTGTGTATACACACATAAATACATATATATGAGGAGATTTATTAGAGGACTTGGCTGACATGGTTATGGAAGCCAAGATATCCCAGATCTGCCATCTCAAGCTGGAGAACCAGGAAAGTTGGTGGTATGATTCAGTCCAAGCCTGAAGGCCTTGGAGTGAGAATTAGGGGGCTGCTGGTATATGCCCTGGTGTCTGAAGGCCCTAGAACCAGGAACTCTGATGTCTGAGGGTAGGAAAGGTGGATGACCCAGCTCAAGAAGAGAGAAAGAGAATTTGCCCTTCCTTTGCATTTTTGGCCCATTTGAATCCTCAGGGGATTGGGTGATGCCCACCCACACTGGTGAGGACAGATCTCTTTACTCAGTCTACTGAATCAAATGCTAATCTCTTCCAGAAACACTCTCACAGACACACCCAGAAATATTTTACCACCTACCTGGGCATCCCTTAGTCCAGTCAAGTTGATACGTAAAATAAGCCATCCCAGCATCTATTGGAATTGTCAACATGGAGATAACGCGTGAGCCTGATAAATGCAGTTTTGGGGAATGGGTGCTGGACTGGAATGACCTAACGAGAGACAAGGAGAGGAAGAAATGGGGCAGTGACCCTGGACAATACCATTAGAAATGTGGCTGTGAAGGAGAGGAGAGACCGGGGATCCAAAAAGGCATAGATGATGAAAATTAATATTCTTTTCTGCTCAGTGGTAAAAACTGGAATACCATCTGTGTCAATATTTAAATGTTGGTTCAAATCTTGAGAAAATAAACATTTGACCTTTGTCATCTGGAGGATTTCATATAATGTTGATTAGAAAAATCATCCTGAAAAGCAGTCTATTTTATTTTATTTTATTTTATTTATTTATTTTTTTAGAGCGGGAAAGAGGAGGGGCAGAGGGAGAGAGAGAATATTAAGTGGGCTCAGAGCAGAGCCTGGATGCAGGGCTCAATCTCAGACCCTGAGATCATGACCTGAGCTGAAATCAAGAGTCAGACACTTCACTGACTAAGCCAAACAGGCACCCCAAAAAGCAATCTATTTTAAAATTTGAGGAGATGAAGTGTTAAAATTTCCAAATGTTTCCCCTTTGACATCATCTAGAGGCAATTAGAAAAACATTTACTTCTTAAAGTAACTGTATGTTCCCCAGTTTACAAAGGAGTGGGAAAGGGCATTTAACTTGAAGTCCTTTCCTGAAATATGTTTTTATAAATTACTGTATATCTAGGTTCTAATTGACTTGGTCATTATAGTTACACAAACATAAGTTTTACCTTAGATTTCCCCCTGGCCAGGGAATCCTTCCAAAACTGAATGGGTTTTGGAGTCAGAAAAATCACTAAAAGAGAACTATTTTTTTCTATTGTATTTTTATTCCAAATAAACTCCATGTCCTTCTGAATGGTATATTACTTTCTTCATCCCTTGTTATATCCTTGTAAGAGTTGAGGAACCTGATAAGCAAAAATGCCCCTTCCCTTACTCTTTCCAAGATGACTCAGGGAAAAAAAGGCAAATCAGAGCTCCCTGGTTCTTCAGTGAAATTATCTTCAACTCCCCGAAAAACTAGATCAAGGCATATACACTGTGACGGAGATTTTCAAGCCTTTTTTGTCCTGTTTGTATTAAGAATAATGCCTTATCTTTGTACCAGTGATTTTACATAATATCATTTCATTCCAATCAAATATAGCACTCTCAAAAAGAAAACAAAAATGGGCAAAGGGCTTGAACAGATCTGTAAATGGCCAAGAAACATGAAAAGATGCCCAACATCGTTAATCATCAGATAAATGCAAATCAAACTGACATAAGATACCATCTCACCCATTAGGATGGCTAGACTGAAAAACAAAACAGAGGGGCGCCTGGGTGGCTCAGTCGGTTAAGCGGCTGCCTTTGGCTCAGGTCAGGATCCCAGGGTCCTGGGATCGAGCCCCGCGTCGGGCTCCCTGCTCGGTGGAGAGTCTGCTTTTCTCTCTCCCTCTGCCTGCCTCTCTGCCTACTTGTGCTCTCTCTCTATCTCTCTGTCAAATAAATGAAATCTTTGGGGAAAAAAAATTAAAAACAAAAAAACAAAACAGAAACAGAAAATAAGTGTTGGCAAGGAGGTGGAGATATCGGAACCCTTGGGCACTGCTGGTGGGAATGCAAAATGGTGCAGCCACGTAGAAAACAGCATGCGGGTAGCTCACAAAGTTGGAAATAGAATTACCAGGATGCCTGGGTGGGTCAGTCAGTTTAGCGTCTGCCTTCGACTCAGGTCATGATCTCAGGGTCCTGGGATCGAGTCCCACATCGGGCTCCTTGCTCCACGGGGAGCCTGCTTCTCCCTTGGCTTGCCGCTCCCCCTGCTTGTGCTCGCTCGCTCTCTCTCATAAATAAATAAATAAATAAAATCTTTAAAAAAAATAGAATTACTATCTGATCTAGCAATTCCATTTCTTTGGTATATATCCCAAAGAATTGAAAGCACGTCTCAAAGAGATTTTTGTACACCCATGTTCACAGGAGAATTATGAACAGTAGTCAAAAGGTGAAAGTAACCCAGGTGTCCATCAACAGATAAATGAATAAACAAAATATGGTATGTACAAACAATGGATATTGTTCAGCCTTAAAAGGGAAGGAAATCTGGGGCGCCTGGGTGGCTCAGTTGGTTAAGCGACTGCCTTCGGCTCGGGTCATGATCCTGGAGTCCCGGGATCGAGTCCCGCATCAGACTCCATGCTCAGCGGGGAGTCTGCTTCTCCCTCTGATCCTCCCCCTCTCATGCTCTCTGTCTCCTATTCTCTCTCTCAGATAAAATAAATTTAAAAAAAAAAAAAAAGGGAAGGAAATCAGACACATGCTACAACATGAATGAACCTTGAGGACATGCTAACTGAAATAAGCTAGTCACAAAAAGGTAAATACTATATGATTCCATTTATATATGAGGTACCTGGAGTAGTTATATTCATAGAGACAGAAAATAGAATGGTAGTTGCCAGGGGCTTGGGGGAGGGGGAATGGGGAGTTGTTTAATGATTACAAAGTTTAAGTTTTGCAAGATAAAAAAAAATTCTGGAGATCTTTTCCTTAACATTGTGAATGTACTTAACATTATTGAACTGTACGCTTAAAAAATGGTTAAGATGATAAGTTTTTAAGTGGTAAAATACGTGTATTTTACCACATTTAAAAAGATTTTTTTTTTTTTAAGTTTTATTTAACTAATGTCTACACCTAATGTGGGGCTCAGACTCAGACCCGAGATCAAGAGTCGCATGCTCCTCTGACTGAGACGGCCAGGTGCCTCTAAAAAAATTTTTTTTAATGCACGTGTTTCATTTGGTGCCTCCAGCGTTTTCAGAATTTGCTTGTCATCCTTGTGCAGGGGCCATGCTAATCTTCTCTGTCTTCCGTTCCAATTTTAGTGTATGTGCTGCTGAAGTGAGCACGGAACCTCCCGCATCTTCAGCTTTCCGTGCCTGGTCCGTTTGGGCATCTCCATTTTCTGCAGGGTTATTCCCATCCTCGCCAGGATTGGCTTTCCCTTTTTTCTCTTTGGGTCCCTTCTTTCCCTTCTTTGAAGGACGCTTTCCAGGTGTAGGTTCTGGCTTTGGAAGAGCAGGTTTAGAGTTGGAGGCATCAGGATGAACTCATGTTTAGCTTAATATAGACACAGATGGCTGTACATGGAAATATTTATAGATATATGTATATACACAGGTTGGTATACACACATATATTTCCTTGCTCTGTCAGCTGAGAGGACCTAGAAGCAACAGCAACTCAGTAGCAGTGAGCACACCTAGCACCCAGATCTTGGCTTCTAATACCATTCTCCAATAAAAGGAACCAAGGCTCCTTGGAGAAATGGCTGATTCTAGGACTGGGGCAGGGAATACACAAAAATAAAATTAAAAGGCAACCTATGGAATGGGAGAAATATTTGCCAATCATATATCCGATAAGGGATTAAAATATATAAAGAACTCATACAACTCAATAGCAAAAAACCAATCTGATTAAAAAATGGGCAGTGGATCTGAACAGACATGATTCCAAAGAAGACATACAGATGGCCAACAGGTACAACATCACTAGTCGTCAGGGTAAAACCATAATGAGATTAGTAGAATGGATTTTATCCATTTTTAGATAGATATTATCAAAAAGACAAGAGATAACAAGCGTTGGCGAGGATGTGGAGAAAAGGGCACCCTTGTACACAGTTGGTGGGAATGAAAACAATATGGAGGTTCCTCAAAAAATAAAAAACAGAACTATCATATGATCCAGCTATTCCATTTCTGGTGTATCCAAAGAAGATAAAAACACAATCTTAAAGAGATATCTGCAATCCCATGTTCACTGCAGCATTATTCACAATAGCCAAGATATGGAAACCACCTAAGTGCCCATCAATTGTTGAATGGATAAAGAAGATGTGATATGTATACACAGTGAAATATTCGTCAGCCATGAGAAAGAAGGAAATCCTGCTACTTGTGACAACATGGATGAATTGGAGATATTATGCTGAGTGAAATAAACCAGAAAAAGATAAATACTGTATGATATCACTCATATATAGAATCCAAAAGAGCCAAACTCCTAGAAACAGAGTAGAGTGGTGGTTACCAGGGGCAGAGGGGTGGGGAAATAGGGAGATACTAGTCAAAGGGTACAAACTTCCAGTTATAAGATAAATACGTTCTGGGGATCTAAGGTAGAGCATGGTGATTATAGTTAATAACACTGTATTTTATACTTGAAAGTTGCTAAGAGAGTAGATCTTAAATGTTCTCACCACAAAAAAGAAATGGTGATCATGTGAGGTGATGTGATGGAGGTGTGAGCTGACGCAGCGATGGTGATCATTTTATACTGCATAAGTATATCTCATCAACATACTGTACACCTGAAACTTACAGTGTTATCTGTCCATGTTCTCTCAACCAAACTGGGAAAAGAAAAAGATTGAAAGAGAGAGAGAGAATAAAAGGGAGAGGAAGGGAGAAATACGTGATGGTATTTATGTATTTATGCTAAATGATTACTATTTATAGGGATGTATAAAAGAACGTTTTTTGAAAATGGGCTCTGGAATCAGACTGCCTGGGTTTGAATCCCGGTTCCTCCACTTAACTCATTCTGTAACTTCAGATAACTTATGTAATCTTAATATGCCTAAAATGGATAATAATAGTGTCTACCTCATTATGGTGTCTCTGGTGGCTAGTACAAATCCTGGCATATAGGATGTGTCTGATGAAGTTTGTTCAATAACTGACAGAGTGGATGAACTAATGACTTTTAGGAAGATTAAATAAGATTATATAATTTTAGTTCGCTGGCACAATCCAAACATTGATTAAAAGTTTCATCATCCTCTTCAGCCTTAGGATCCCTTCCTTTGCACGGGCTGTTCCGTCTGTCTGAAACACCTTTCCATCTCTTCTGTGCCTTGTTGCTCAAGACCTAGGTCAAGCAAACTCCCCCTAGTCAGCCTTTTCCAGGTGGCCCCTTCTCGTATTGTCCCTCGACTTCTTTTTTACCATTAAAGCACCTCTGAGGTTGGTTTACACTGATTTTTGTTTTTTTCATGATGGCTTTATTGAGATGTAATTCACATATAAAAAATTCACCCATTTGCAGTGTACAATTCAGTGATGTTCAGTATGTGCATAGAGTTGGGCAGTCATCACCCCAATTTTAGAATATTTTCACCATCCCCCGAAGAAACCCCATACCCATTAGCCCCACTCCCCCTCACTCCAGCCTCTGGCAAGCACTAGTGTACTTTCTGTCCCGATGGATTTTTCTATTCTAGACTTTCATGTAATGGACTCATACAAAACATGGCCTTTGTGTCTGGCTTCTCTCACTCAGCACCATGTTTTCTAGGTTCATCCAAGTTGTAGCATGTGCCCGTAGTTCGTTCCTTTTCGTGGCTGAATAATACCTACTTCGTGGTTATACCACATTTTACTTACCCACTCATCAGTTGATGGACGTTTGGGGTATTTACACTTTTTGGCTATCATGAATAATGCTGCTATGAACATAGGTACAAATTTTGTATGGACACATCTCTCTTGGTATATGCCTAGGGGTGGAATCGCTAGGTGATCTGGTAACACTATGTTGAACTTCTTGAGAAACTGCCTGTTTTCCAAGGTGGCTGCGCCATTTTGCATTCCCACCAGCAGTGTATGAGGAGGTCCAATTTCTCCATGTCTACGATCATTTTTTTAGTGTACCACCGTACCAGGGAACTTTTTGATGGCACAGAGTGTGAAATTGTGGTTTTCTGTCACCCCAGCTCTCAGCCCAGTGCCAGTCACAGAGAGAAACTTTGTCCCCACCTCTTCCCTGCTGCACAGGACTATAGCAGAGTCATAAAGACAGGATATCTGCCATGTTAAAATAGATGCTCAAGGTAGGAGTGGACTACTTTATTACACAAATGCGGACACTGAGAAGTAAAAAGATCCGCCCGATGTCACACAGAGCCAGAGCCACAACTCAGGACTCAGGACTGGCGGCACGGAGCTCTTTCCTACAGTGCTCCACGAACTGCCTCTGAATTTACTCCAACACCAGAGGAGAATCAACTTTGGCTCCAGGGATCTGGTGCCAAAGCCCTAGGACGGAAGCCACAGATAGCAAATTGCCCTGCAATAGCATGTTTCTCTTCAAAATGCCTGGAAAGCCCACATTCAAACACCACAGCATGTCTGTGTCTTTGAACCTATGAGTAACCTTGTGATTATTCACCGTCCAGTACAATTGAAGCCGCACGTCCCTGCGCAGAGTCTGCGCTGTGGCTTTAGGGCCCCTGGGCACAGGCTGCGTCCCCGGGGGCTGCCGGAGCCTCCGTGTGGAAGGCCATGCATCACTCCACGATGGTGCCCTCTCAGACCCTCTGTGGAAGCGGGCAGGCACCAGCTGCTGGCTATCAACTGGAGTTGTACAACGACGCCGTTATGTTTCTGTTTGCAAAGGCGTTCCGAGAAGCATCAGGGTGTTCCTGAACTCCCACTATGGACTCAGTGCTGTGCTGGGTGACAAGGCATAAACGTGGCCTCTGCCTATGAGGAGCTGGCAGGCTGTTTAGGCATCCCAGCTCCGTGCTCGCCATGTATTTTAACGAGCTAGGAGGAGAGACAGGGATGCTAGGGAGGTAGACTTGAAGCAGGAATGCGGGACAGCAATGCCATTGGCCTCCGCAGGGAGGGAGCAGGGGGGCAGGCCAGGGCAGGATGGCCCCAGGTGCACGGGGCCAGCAGTGAGGAGCCTCACGCCCCGCTGGAACATCCACACTACTGCTCTAAGGTGGAGGTGCGGGTATCAGCTGGAAGAGGCCTTCCGGGGCACTCAGGTCAAGCCCCTTATTTCCCAAGAATGGAAGTTGTGCATGGAAGGTGACCCAGCCCATGAGTCTCTTGAGACCCCCTGACAAAGTGCAGCCAGTATTATGTGGCTTGCCAGGTGAAAGAGGAGACCAGCTTGGCACTGGGGAGAGCCATGGGGCTGGGATGGTGTCACATTCCCAGCCCTTGCCAAAGGGCTGGGCCCAAGGCGCTTGGAGGCCTCAGGCAGGTCACGTGGCCTCCCTAGTTCCATGTTGCGAGGGAATTAAATGTGATGAAGTACATAAAGCATATAGAACAGGGCCTGATACTTATTTCGTAAGTACTCACAAATGGGAGCTATTTAAAAAAAAATTTTTTTAAGTAATCTCTGCACCCAATGTGGGGCTCAAACTCACAACCCTGAGATCAAGACACATCCTCTATTGATTGAGCCAGCCAGGTGCCCCCCAAATGGGAGCAATTTTTGTTGCTACTGTTGCTGTGGTAATTGTTTGCTGATTATCGCACACTGATTGTATTACAACTTGCCGAGAACTCTTTCGCTAATTTGGGAGATTTATGACTAGAGCAATGGTTTCAAACATCGAGGTATGTTAGAATTACCTGAGGGGAACTGGTTCAAAATTAGATTTCAGGGCCTACCCCCTCCCAGTTCTAATTCAGTAGGATATATATATATATATATATATATGTATATATATATAATAAAATAAATATAAATAAAGTGTTGTCTGTATCTACCATGTTATCTATATATGTTATCTATCATATATAATATGTATATTATATATATTGTATGTATTTACTTATTTTTATAACTATCTCAGGTGATTGATTCAGTGCTGGTGGCTCAAGGACCACAGGGAGAGAGGCTGCCTTGCGGACCCTGCTTCTTCCACGCTTATCTCTACGTTCCCACCCCCTGAGATAATCCTTGTTAACTGTGGTTGGTTTTGTTTGTTTCCAGAAATTGTCTATGCCCTTACAAGCATATCCACTAATACATCTCTTTTCCCCCATGCTCACTTTGTGAAAAACACAAATAGGATCACAGGATAGAGCCGGGATTGGCAAATGTTTTCAGTAACATGTCGAACAGTAAATATTTTCGGCTTTGCTGGCCATATGGTCTCTGTCCCAACTACCAAACTGTCCATTGTAGCTTGAAGGCAGCCACAACAATTCGCAAATGAATGGGCGTGGCTGTGTTCCAGGGCCGCTTTGGTTGCCAGCCGGGCAGCAGGCAGGATTTGGCCTGCCAGCCACAGTTGGCTGCTACAGAGTACAACTATTACTCGGATATTCTGAGTGAGTATCTTTTCCCTATCAGCCCATGCAGTGACTTTATTCTTTAACTGCTACATGGTACTGAGAACATATTTAGCCACTTCTCAACTGGACAATTAGATATTTTTCCAGGTTTTGCTGCACTAAACAAAGCTTCCATACCCTGTGCGCTTGGTTGACTATTCTTTTGTCAACTGGAATGAATTCTCAGAGCAGAATTGCTGACTCAAAGGGTAAGTTTGAGTTTAAAATTTTGACAGAGACTGCCAGATTGATATCAGGCTCCTTTTTAAATTCAGATTGCCACATAACCTTGTGATTTTCATTGCTTAATCTTACTTCTGGTGAATATTTTCTGTTAGTTTAAAGGTTTTGTAATAACGAAAGGAAAGATTCCAAAGACCGACAGAGGGAACAATGAACTATGTGGCAACGGACTCCAGTTGCCAAATTCTTTAATAAATACTTGCCTACCATGGAGCGATTTGCACAGCATTCTTGTCCATGTAGAAGCAAATTCCCTTCTGCCCAGACTCCCAGAAAGCAGTAGGGGCAGCTCTTTCTCAATGTAAAGAACATTCTGTGCAAAAGCACAATTTAAGCCCTTGCAGAGCAAATATGCGGATCAGATAGGACATAACCGCTTTACAGCTACAGCCCACACACACTTAGGCTCCGTGATGGTAAAGATGGATTGGATTTCCAATGGGAGTTCTCCATCAGACCCTTTACACAGCTGGGCCAATGTTTCAGATTCTCTTACCTGGAAAAATGCACTGATCACACTCACTGTTGTTGAGATTACAATTATGAACAATCAGCCTCCATTGAGCCTCTGCTATGACCCTGGCACCGGGGAAGTCCTTCACCTACATTCCTTCCACCCTGTGAGGATGGCTTCATGACCATCTTACAGATGGAAAAACCAAAGCTCAAGTAGGTTAAGTAATTTAACCATGGTGATACAGTCAGATTTGACTTCCAAGTCCACGGGAAAAAATACAATCATTTACTGCATTGAAACATAGCAAAAACCTTGATGACTGATCCTAACTATTGGACCAATTCTTAGGAAGTGCTGCACATTGTATAATCTTTCATTACAAAATCTATTTCTCATCCTGACAAATAAATCACCTTCAGAAATCACAAACGACTGTGACTGAGGCAACGTTTAAAAATAGACTTACAAAGGGAGTAAGAAATATTCTAAAATCTGAATGCTGACATTTCTGATTCTGGTCCAGACAAGATGGCATAGACCCATTTTTGCCCGCTCTTCATGGCTAAGCACAGCTACAAACCCTGGAAATGGCAAGAGACAACCAAAGGAAAACTCTGAAAGGTGATCAAGAAGGCAAGCTGGTTTGGGACCAGGACCAGAGAGCAGAACAGTGGCAGGGGCATGTGTGTCCTACCACCCATGGGAGGGTCCTTCCCAACCCTTGACCTAGCAATGGAAGGCAGCCCAGATAGGCTCATTCCTCCCCCTTAGGGAATGGGAGTCTGTCTGGTGGCATGACACCAGCTGACAAGGGGGATCGCTGGGAGTCCAGCCAGGAATAAGCCACCACGGAGGTATTCTCCTTCCAGACAGACTCCCTCTCTCCCCCTAGAGTTTCCTGGGTGGGTGGGCGGGCTGAGCCCGAGGGAGAAACCTAGCTATTGCAGGTGGACTAGTCCAGGAAGCCTCTTTATCCCTGCAGCCTAAAGCAAGACTCTCCCACCCAGGGCACTAGCTCAGTAGGGTGGGCTGGGAGGACCAGTTGGGGGACCCACACACCCTCCCTCAACCAAAAGATGCCCACCAGCACCTTGAGGCAGCACCTGCAGGAACCAACAGAAGCCCCAAAGGCACTAGAGAAAACCAAACATACCAGAGTAACAGTGCGAAGTGCTGAAAATTAAGCCGCCATTGAAACCACGGTCCACAAAGTAAGCCGAGCCCCATGCACTAGCCCTCAGTGGGGATGCCTGCTAAAATACAGGATTTACATAGGACCATAATAGACAAAATGTCTAGGACACAACTAACCCATCATACTGTGAACGAAGAAAATCACAACTTGAGTGAAAAAAGATAATGGACGCCAACAGTGATGATCTTGACAAGGATTTTAAAGCAGCCATCTTAAAACTGCAGTTAAGACTGTCAATTAGAAATTCCCTTGAAATAAATTAAAAAATAGAAAACCTTGGCAAAGAAATAGAAATTATAAGAAAGAACCGAATGGAAACTATAGAACTAATAATACAGTAACTTAACAGTTCCATAATAACACCTGCTGGGTAGGTTCACTGTGAACGTGGAGATGACAGAGGACAGGCTCCATGAACTCTAGGACAGAACAACACAACTCACCCAGTCTGAAACAGAGAGAAAATAGACTGGAAAAACAAAACAAAGCCTACGGACCCATGGACAACACGGGATGTGTTGTTAGCACTGTTCAGTGTTTTGGGGCACCTGGGTGGCTCAGTCAGTTAAGCGTATGCCTTCAGCTCACAGGTCATGATCTCAAGCCCTGCATTGGGCTCCCTGCTCAGCAGGGAGTCTGCATCTCCCTCTCCCTCTGCCCCTCCCCCCCACTTGTACTCTCTTGCTCTCTCAAATAAATAAAAAAAAATTTTTTTAAAGATTTTACTTATTTGAGAGAGAGAGAGAGAACGAGAGAGAGCATGAGCTAGGAATTAGTAAGAATATAGCATCAAGACTACTTTAAACATAAGGGATTTCATTCTCGGGTTCCTAAAAATAAAGTCAGTTTTAGTCTAATAATTATGAAATTGAATTATAAGATCATTGATAGAAAACAAACACCAAACAGCACCCATGCCCACTTGGTAACGTCAGGCTTCAGAGTAAAATAAAAATATTATAAATGAAGTTTCAGCAAAATAATTTTATTTTCTAACACATGGTAAACATATACATCCAACATGCAGTCGTCTTGCACATTTATTCACAAATGATTTCCAAATTACAACAACTGCTTTGATATTGAAACATGTACTAACAGTTACCTTAGTTGAGATATGAAAAATGCTTTTAGATGCAGAACATTCTGGATATACTGGTCGCAGCAGAATTTGCTTTAGTTAGATTAGTTCTATGAATTTAAAGCTTTGAAAAGCTACTACTTTTGCATCTAATACTCCAGATGAATAAGATGCAGCAACATCAGCTTGTATTCCACAGAATATTCATTAGTTTTTCTGGTGATGGAACCACTTATCCACTGCATTCAGAGAAAAGAAAACCAAATTAGAATCTCTTATTAAGAATCAAAATTAAAAATAATAAAAAAAGAATGAAGATACACCCAAAATATAACAAAGAATACCATACTTGCTTTAATGTATCCTACCATAGATTACCTTAAAACAAACTTACATCTGAAGTTTCACTACAGCAAAAACAGGTAATTTATCACAGTGTTTTCTTCTGGGCTTTCTCACTCTTGATACTAATCAATAAACATGTGATTCTCACCAGAAGAACCTTACAGAGAATTCTAAATGTAAAGGGGGAGAAAGCTGTTTTCTGGGTGACGCAGCTGGTGGCCAGAGGGGGGATCCAGAGCCCCACCTGCTCCACCATCCATGAGGCATCTACCCGGAACCCAGAGGAGAAGAGCGGGTCATGGTTTGGAAACTGCTGTGATGGGGGTTGGCGTGAAGGGTGGCGTTAACAGCCATCTTTCTTCCCACAGACATTATGGAACTCTAAAAATGTTTCTTCTTCCCTTCCTTCTCTTTCTCTGTGGATGTGGTGTGTAAGATAAATCTGTAGATACAGCTATAATTTTCCCACACATACACACAATGTTTAGTGTAATTTTACTAGAATATAGATCTTACCATCTGTTGGTACCGTGCAGGCAGATTCGCATGGTGGTGGTAACTAAAATAAAATATTAAAATGTATTAGTCTAATTCCAGAAAAAAAATAATCTAAAAAAGTATACCAACACAAAAATCTTAAAAGAATATGAACAGATGGTAACTTCCCCAATTTTTAGGTTCTAAAAATAATTTATAATATATAGGAACAAGGCAAGGTTCACTCTACTGCCAAAAAACAAATTCAGGCCCTTAGCTTTTGATTGCACACAGGAGGATAAATAAAAAGAAATGTTGTTTGAAATAACTGATTGATGCATATATAATGAATTTATATATACACACACATATACATAAAAAGTAGGCAGAGTGTTCTCATTGAAAAGTTATGATTGTTAACCAGTGGTTTTTCCCTTCCAACTTTTCTTATTTACCTCAACTTTGTCAGGATTCATATATAAAGATAAATCTAAATGTACTGGCTTCATTGTTAAATTATTCTTTTTCCTTGGACTACACCACACTTACAAGGCAATAAAAAGTCAGACTTCATTTTCTTTTCCTTATTTAATATAGTAAATGAGAATAATTTAAGATGATCTATTTCAGTCTTTTGGTTAACCCAAATCAAATAATTAAAAATAATACAAAGGCAAAATTATTTCTTTCATGAATAGTTTACTACCTCACAAGAAAGTCTTTTCTAGGGGTTATGAACCACTCCTGCATGGTGCCTGAAACCTGACCACTTTCTTAGTCCTTCCTATAACCAAGTCAAGTAAGTTCCCATTAATTCTTTTGGAAGAAGGGCTTATGATAGGCACACGGGATTTGGATTAGTCGCTACCTTCTGGAATCATTTTGATAGTTACAACTGTACTATTTTCCCATTTAGAGTTGACTAGGCCTTTTCTCAGCTTCTCCCTTCAGTCAAATGTCCACTTGTGTGTGTTCATGGTTTGTAATTTCAAGACTTCACACAATAACATGCATAGGGGAACTCCAATATTTGTTGAAAGAAGTACTTTCCCTTCCCATTGGCATCATTTTTTTTTTAGCCACCAAGTATGTTCTTTTTCAAGGAAAACTTTTACGTACAGCATCCACAATAGCTTTGGCAGCATCGGGATCACACTTGAAGGGGCTCTCAGACACTGTAGTATTCATGCTATTAAATAAAACAAAAGTAGTCATGAGTCACAGTAACAAAACTTGTCTCTTCATAGTTAAAAAGCAACAGACAGAGATGGTAGGCCAGATGAGATTCAAGTTTGGTTTACTTGAATCTCAAGTTTACTCAAGTTGTAGGATACAAAATCAATATATACAAAAATCTGTTGTATTTTCCATACACTAATAATAAACTATCAGAAAGAAAAACTAAAGAAAACAATAACATTTACAGTTACATCAAAAAGAAAATACCTAGGAATAAATTTTTTTTAAAGTAATCTCCATGTCCAACGTGGGGCTCAAATTCACGACCCCGAGATGAAGAGCCGCATGCTCTGAGCCAGCCAGCCAGGCACCCCAATTTGGGTGGGAAAGATGTATACACTGAAAACTAATAAAAACTAATAAAAAGAGATTGAGGAAGACACAAATAAATGGAAAGATAGTCCACGGTCATGGACTGGAAGAATTAATATGGTCAAAATATTCATACTACCCAAAGCAATCCACAGATTCAAGGCAATCCCTATCAAAATTCAGTGGCATTTTTTCACAGAAACAGGACAAACCTAAAATTTGTGTGAAGTCACAAAAGACCCTGAATAGCCAAAACAATTTTGAGAAATAAAAGCAAAGCTGGAGGCCTCATACTTCCTGATTTCACGCCACAGTAATCAGAACAGTATGGTATTGGCATAAAAACAGATACACAGATCAAAGGAACAGGATAGAGAGCCCAGAAATAAAACCCATTCATATAAGGTCAATTAATTTACGATAAAGAAGCCAAGAATATACAATGAGAAAAGGACAGTCTCTTCAATAAACGGTGTTGGAAAAACTGGACAGCCAAACGCAAAAGAATGAAACTGGACCACTATCTTACATCATACACAAATATTAAATCAAAATAGGTGAGACTTGAATATAAGACCTGAAACCATAAAACTCCTAGAAGAAAACATAGGCAGTAAGCTCCTTGACATCAGTCTTGGGGATAAATTTTTGGATTTATCCAAAAGGCAAAGGCAAAAGCAAAAATAAACAAGTGGGACCATATCAAACTAAAAAGCTTCTGCACAGCAAAGGGAATCATCAACAAAATGAAAAGGCAACCTACTAAATGGGAGAAAATATCTGCAAAGCATATATCTGATAAGGGGTTAAGATCTAAAATATATAAAGAACTCATACAACAATAGCAAACAAACAATCTGATTAAAAAATGGGTAAGAGGATTGGATAGGAAATTTTCCAAAGAAGACCTACAGATGACCAACAGGTACATGAAAAGGTGATCAACATCACTCATCATCAGGGAAATGCAAATCAAAACCACAGTGAGATGTCACCTCACACCTGTTAGAATGGCTATTATCAACAAGGTAAGAAATAACAAATGTCAGTAGGATGTAGAAAACAATGAAGCCCTTGTGCACTGTTGGTGGAAATGCAAATTGGAGCAGCCACTACAGAAAACAGTAGGAAGGGTCCTCAAAAAATTAAAAAAAGAACTACCCTATGATCCAGCAATTCCACTTCAAGTATTTACCTGAAGAAAGCGAAAACATGAAATAGAAAACATATATGCACCCTCATGTTCACTGCAGCCTGATTTACAACAAGACATGGACACAACCTAAAGGTTTGTGATTCACCAATGAATGAATGGATAAAGAAATGTAGTAAATGTAGTATATATACACAAAGGAATATTAGCCATAAAAGAGAATGAAATCTTGCCATTTGTGACAACATAGCTGGAACTTGAGGGCATTATGCTAAATGAAGTAAGTCACACAGAAAAAGAGAAGTATCATATGATCTCACTTATATATGGAATCTAAAACAAAACAAAACAAAACAAAACCAAGTTCATGGATATAGAGAACATACTGGTGGTTACCTGAGGTGAGGTGAAGGGTGCATGGTGAAGGCGGTCAAAGGTGCCAATTTTCAGCTACAACTAAGTCGTGTATGTAATGTACAAGCACGGTAACTATAGTTAATAATACCATATTGCATATTTGAAAGTAGCTAGGAAAGTGGATCTTGAAAGTTCTCATATCAAGAAAAAAAATGTTGTAACTGTGTGGTGATGGATGTTAATTGGACTTATGGTGATCATTTTGCAATAAATACAAATATCGAATCATTACACTATATACCTGAAACTAACATAATATTATGTCAATTATACCCCAATGAAAAATAATTTTTTGAAAGTTGAAGATGGTAAATCAGATGAAATTCAAGTTTGATTCAGTGGAAAGCTTTCTCACCTATATTAAATATTCTCTTTATTTTGCCAAGGTATAGTTATTCTTGTTGCCAATTTTATTCAAGTACCTAAGCAAGTTCAAATTTAGAAATCTAAGACTGAATGCCCTGTAATTCTCACTGAAATAACTGAGAAATGCAAATTAAAATGAGAAACCTATCTTTCCAAATTAGACAAAAGCAAAAAATCCTATCAGTTCCTGTCAGTGCTGGTGAAGCATCTGAGATAAACTGTCCTAGTGGGAGCAACACTTGGTTCTTGGAGAAACATTTCTGGAAAATATGCTGATAAACTGTGTCCAAACCTTCTAAAAAGTCCATGTGCTTTGATAGAGAAGTTCTACCTCTCAGAATTCAAACAGATTTAAACAATGATCTATAAATGTTCAATATATGCCATCTCACCATTGATAAGAATGAAAAGCTGAAAGTAACCAAAATGTCCAGCAATGGGGATGATTAAAAATGGTGTATCTAGGAGGTGGGATATTATACAGAGATGGAATGTTACATAATATTATAAAAATATTTTTAATGATATAAGGAAATACTTATAGTGTTAAATGTTTAAAAAATCATAAAACATGGGGCACCTGGTGGCTCAGTAGGTTAAGCATCTGCCTTTGGCTCAGGTCATGATCCCAGCGTCCTGGGATCAAGCCCTGAGTCGGGCTCTCTGCTCAGTGGGGAGCCTGCTTCTCCCCCTCCCTCTGCCTGCCGCCTGCTTGTGCTCTCTCTCTCTCTGTCAAATAAATAAATAAAAATCTTTTTAAAAGATAAATTAAAAACTTAAAAATCATAAAACAAATTATACATGCAATATAATCCTAATTATTTTTTAAAGTATTACACATACACACGAGGACTGTAAAAAAAAAAAAAAACAACACTCTAAATGTTAATAGGAATATCTATGGAAAAACTGATAAGGAGGACTTTTTAAAAATATATATTGGCTTTTTGTTTATCCATAGTTCAAAATTTCCTATATATAAATTATTATAGTACTAGTATAACATGGGTATGATAAGAGATAGTCTACTAAAATGAAAAAGGAAATATCTGCAGTTATCTGTTACTTAACATGCATTAAGGTCATTTCTATAGAAATAAGACACCACAAAAATTGAGAACTTAAAAGCAATGTCTTACGATTGTGCATTTTCACACAAATGTATAACTGCTCACTTTTTCTTCTGTTTGTGGAAAGACAGTGTTTTCACTTTATAGGACATTATCCTGACTCACAGAACAGAAGATGCCTGAGAATTATTTTTATACATTAGGGTTTTCCCATACTCAGAAAAAAATCTTACTGCCCAGATAACTTTTGACATTTAAAAAAATGAATATAATACACACACAAACACACATATATATATTTAGAAAATTCAGAAAGTCATAAAATGAAAGCCTTCCTCTCCTCTCCAGATGGTTGTCTTCAAAGGCAATTATAATTTATAGTTCTTCCCCCCCCAAAAAAAATTTAGATATAAATACATAGATGCTGGTATTATGTGTGTGTGGGGGGGTGTTTATCTTGCATAAACAGGATCATATTAAATATACTACTTGGAACTTTGCTTTTCTCCCTTTATTTTGGGTATCCTTCCATATCAATATATATAGATAATCTTGTAATGTGCCATACATACACTGGTAAATGTTCTAGTATATAGATGTACTTAACCATTACATTTTTTTCCTAACATTTTGCTATTATAAATGACATAATGAACATCCTTATACATGGATCTTGGTGAACTGTGGATATATTCCTAGCAGTGGTGGTGTGAAGAAATACATGCAATTTTAATTTTTCTACTGGATCCTGTCAAATTGCCCTTCACAAAGGTATACCCATTTATACGCTCAACAGCTACATATGTATGTTCTTGGTATCCCTCGCTATCATCTGATTTTTTAATGTTTGCAAATGTAATGGGTGATATCATTATCTTGCTGAATTGCATTTTAAATTATGAGTGAGACTATGCAGCTTCTTTTATGTAAATTTCCTTCTCCTACCTTTAATCTTTTTTTTTTTTTAAAGATTTTTTATTTATTTATTTGAGAGCGAGAATGAGAGAGAGAGAGAGAGAGAGAGAGCATGAGAGGGGGAGGGTCAGAGGGAGAAGCAGACTCCCTGTCGAGCAGGGAGCCCGATGCGGGACTCGATCCCCGGACTCCAGGATCATGACCTGAGCCGAAGGCAGTCGCTTAACCAACTGAGCCACCCAGGCGCCCCTCCTACCTTTAATCTTTATCTTACCAACTTGAACAAGCTATTTATATATTAAAGAATTTAGCCCTTCATTGTATTTTGTTTAAAAAAAAAAAAAAAAAAGAACGGGGAAAAATTGTCTCCTGATACATAAAAATATCACAAGTAAACCTTTCTTGTATGGATTTTGAGTTTGTGCTCTGTTTGGAAAGGCCTTTCCTGCTAATAAAGAAATTCACTTAGGGGCGCCTGGGTGGCTCAGTCAGTTAAGCGGGCCACTTTTGGCTCAGGAGATGGATCTCAGGGTCCTGGGATGGAGCCCCTTGTCAGGCTTCCCTGCTCAGGGGGGAGCCTGCTTCTCCCTCTGCTCATGCTCTTTCTCAAATAAATAAAATCTTTAAAAAAAGAAAAAGAAATTCACTTCTACTTTTTCTAGAATTTTCCACATCAAAATTTATGTGTCTGGCATTAAATACTGATGTAAGACAAAGGCTGTAAACTCAAACACCAACAGACTGCACCCAATTAACATAAGGGTGTAGAGAAGCTAACTGTAAGAAAATGTGCTGAGCTGCTTCTGAGGGGTGCTCCTAGAGCACCTGCCTGGTCACAGCACCTCTTAAAAACAAAACAGAACAGCCAGAACATGGTGATGGTTGCCAGGGTGCATCTCTGGCAAGGAGTATATGGAGCCAGATAGGGATCTAGCCTGTTTTCTTCCTAAACAGCCAGTGGGTCCAAAACCATTCATCCGTAATACTTTGTTATAAACTAATACATGTTTGGGTCTCCCAAACTCTAAAGGACTGAGTGATTTGACTTTCTTCTTCAATATCAAACTTTCAGGAAAACAGTATTGTACATTTTCACACAAATGTCTAACTGCTCACTTTTTCTTCTGTTTCCCTGCTGAGTGCAGAGCCTGATGCAGGGCTCGATCTCACCACCCCAAGATCATGACCTGAGCAGAAATCCAGAGTTGGCCGTTTAACCGACTGAGCCACCCAGGCAACCCCCCTGCATCTCTGTTACATGCTTGGCAGATATTTAACTGCTCGATAAATATAAGCTATAATTATTAGCAGTAATAAATTTTGTGTGCATGGTAGATACTGGTTAAGCTGCAATGCATCTTCTATATTTATATCAGAGAAAAACTCTTTCACTCAAAATTATTTTACTCACTACATTCTGAGCACCCCGATGTTAGGAAGCCTTTCCAGTTACCCTCACAAAGCTCTGATCTCACTGCCCCCTTTATAGTTTTAGTTTGTACTTGTTCAGAGAGTATCTTATGAATACTTCTCAGTTGCTTACCTATCTACCTTCCCACTCCCTTTAGCACTGACTGACAAAACCAGTTCTCTCTTTTCTAAGGGAATGTGTGCTTATGTCATTAAAACCTTTGGAGCAAACTGGTCTGCTTTTTGTGTTAAACATGCAGAGAAGAGTTACTGCTTACCAACTGATTCCCTTTCCATCAGTTTTCTTTGTCACTAATGCTCTCCAATGGTCATGAGTGCTTTTAATAATATCAATTGCAAAATCCTGTAATTGGAAGAGATATGCATTACAATGACAGGTAAGTGTTCTTTCCTTATTATCAACATTTTCCCAAAGACTGATAACTTTGTCTTTTCTGAATTCACTTCCTTGTGTCAAAAACGGAAGAGAAAATTTAAATGACTAAATCAGTATCAAGGCTGTCTTACTTATGTCTTTAAACATTTGTTTTATGATTGTATAGTCTTTAAATGGTAACAATATAGTTAAAAAAAAAAAA